CTATCTACTGACCAAGCACACAGGCACACACACACATGTACACACACACGCACACACACACACACACACACACGCACACACACACACGATGACATCCAATAGCAGCTAATTGGGTAATCCTTTTAGTGCATTGTAAAGGAGATCGAGCATGAATAGGGCTTCAATGCTGAAGTGCAGAATACCAGACACTCATTACTGCCCTGAAGTAGGGAGATGGAATACCAGGCACAGAGAGAGGCACAAGCAGAAAGAGAAAGACACTGACTTGGAAGGACTGTGTGTGCATGAGAGAAGGGTATTTATTCTGTGCAGCTAACATTGCATTATCCATTGACATCTACTGTATTGCCCAGCATACAGCCCATGTATCCTCTGTTTGAGATATAAGGATCAGGATACAGAAAGAGGTTTAATTATGAATAATAAAAGTAAACAATTTTTGCACATTAATGTCATCTCAGTGTCTCCTTTTGAGACCAGGCAACTTTGACTAGAGCTCAGCTTTTAGTGAGACCCCCCAGCCCGAAATTAGATTGCATTCAGATGCTATTATGTGCATCCAAATGAGACATTAGGTCAACCAAACCATCAACCTCCATGGGTTTTAATAGATAAGGAGGTCGTCTGCACTATTCATTGGCTCTGTATGGCTGGCCAACTACTGCTCTTGTAGTGCGTACATTTGCATAACCTTGGCAGTTGGAGTGTAGGGGAAAATGTATTTTTAATGGAGTCTAAATGGGAATCTTTAGTGCCGCGACAAGCATGGAAACTAATGCTCATGAATTCAAGAAGTCCTAAAATTAAATATCTCAAATGTCCTTTTATATTTCCTTATTGAGCTGCATCCGCCCATACTCGATTGGTTATTACCTTACAATGCGTTTCTGCACCTTTTTGTTGTAATACCTCAAACATGCGCAGTGCCATGGAACCAGTCCAAAAAAGGTTTTAAAGACTTGCATGCATCTTCTGTTAGATAGCTCTTATCAAAGTCCAGCTCAGCTGTCATAAAATATTAACTTCTCTGGCTTTTATTCCTCTCTAAAAACAGCAACTGAAAATGTAACAAATGGAAGCGTTTTTTAGACGTTCTGAATTATTGCTCACCCATTACTTGCACATATACTTTTTCCATTACTTGTCACCCTGTTCCATTCGTGTGTGATATGACAGCCTTTTTATTATAAAATTCAAATTTGATCGATTACCATAAAAGCTTTGTTGCGATGTTGTTTGCACATTAACGGAGGATTCGGAAAAAGACTTCATGGTTATGGTCAGAAATATAGAAGTCAAACCGGCTAATATATTTTACTAGTGTCAGATCAGTTATTTTTTTCTGGTGTTATAAAGGTGTTATAATGCCTCATCAGGCTATATTTTGTATCAATGATAGGGCATGAGAACTTTCAGTATATAGACGTTTGGGTTTCTCACATAGTCACACACACTTATTATGATATATCTTAGTTTAAGAGAGGATAACATGTATAGGTAGGTAGAAAAGAATGAGGCCTTTCCTGGCACTGAAGCCTGATGACCCCCAAAAGCTGAATACTCAATGATAAGATTGTCATTCTTGAGCATAACTGCCTCCCATCCTCCTAATCTTCTGTGGCTGTGCGTGTGTGTGTGGATGGTGTAATGTGGGAGTAAGAGGAAGTAAGGAGGAAGACACAATGAGCTCACTTTAAGGGGGTCTATATCATCCCAAAAGCAGCTGGAGACATTTGCTGCAGGCGATACCTGTGCTCAGCTCCAAAATAAAGGCCCTTGACCTTGTTTTGCTACTTTGTTCATTACAGGGAAACTTTTTTTCAGCAGTCTGACTTGGGATAATTGGGAAGAGCCATAAGCCGCTGTTTACTTCTAAACAGAAACCGTTTCTATTCCTGAAAAGTTGACTACTGTGGATGTTGGAATGTTGGGTTGCCGTGCTTCTTTGGCAGAGCCTTCATTCACGAGTGGATGCTGTTATATAGGTATCTAGGACAGTTATTTTAAGAAGCATCTCCTTTAGCAGGTCATGACAGCTTCAAATGATTGTCACACGGTAATGAGCAAAGCATTCGTTATTGAAAAAAAAGCCAAAAAACAACCCAAAACAGAATCATCTGTCAAGTCAAGATATTTACATAAAAATTATCTCTGCTATGCACATAAAAAACAGACAAACAAACATCTCAGCCAGTGAAATGACAGGGAACTGTCTATTCCCATTTCTTTTTTACTCTCACATTGCTTGGTACAATTCCTCCCCTGTGTTTTTCTCCACACAATAATTTGGTACAAACAAAGCTGAACATGCCTGTACTAGTGCCCTATACTTACCCACTCACCTTGTCACCTGCACAATGTACAAGAATTCATGTTCTCAGCAGGTCTCAACACATATCTCACTGTACGCGAGTGTGACAGAAACTGGGAGTTGGCGAAACAGCTCTCCTTCATGTGTTACAATTAATTGTATAAAAGAAACAGAGCAATATTTAGGAACCGTGGGTTGGTGGGGGGTTACTTTAGGTAATCACTGGGTGGGGAATACACTTGAAAATCATGTTGAAAACACCTATAACTACCAGCTTAGCCTTCAGGGGTATTTATATCCCAGGAGTTGTTGTGCTTATATCAAATCAAACCTCACGCTGGTCCCTATTATTTTAAGCTTTTTTTTAAAAAAACAATAGTTTGCCCAGTAATGGCTGAGCTGAATGAAAAGAGCACGAGTGGCAGTTTTCTGGGTCGAAATCAGACATTTCATTTATAGCCAGTGTGTCCTCATGCACAGAGATGATTTCATTTTAAAATTCAGTTTGCATTTAACAAGCAAAAGCCTTGGACTGCTTCCATGCATAGAAACTTTGGAATTATTATTAATGTTAGCTGTAATTTGATATGATCATAAAGTGATCCTAGTTCACCTTACTTAAACTTTGCAAATTGCACACTTAAATAAGGAGGAATCTGCTTGTATCCTGCATGAACTGCAAGGCTTTGAGCCTCGCACAAGTCTCTGCCATCATTTCAGATCTAGTCAGAAAGCCATGCTGTCTTTGAGTACCTGTAGTGGTGACTTACCTCCATTTATTCCTTGCCTCCACAGTCTCAGTCACTTCTGCTTTTGCCCTGTATCCCCAAGCTTTGTGATCTATGAGCAAACCATCCTTAGCTGAACACTGGCAGGGCCGGTGTGGGGAAAAAAGTGACGTCTGCTTTTGTTGTTTGAGGTCTCTTAGGTTCCTTTCCTCAAACCTCTTCAATACCTGGAACACTCAGTCCGTCCCGTCTCCCATACTCTCTCACATTCCTTCAGAAACTTCTCTCTCGCTCTCTCTCTCTCTCTCCCCTCCCCTCTCTGTATTCTTCTTGCCTCTCCCCTGAACTCCCTCCCACTCTCTCCTTCAATCTTAACATTTGCCACTCTGTCTCATCCTCCTTCCAGCTTTGATATATATTTTATTGTTTTTTCAAAGCCTTTTGGACCATTCAATAAAAAAATGTTATTTTTCTTAGCATTATTAGTTATGTTAGATAAATATATATACTTATATATATGTATTTGTCCACTATTTCTTTGGGATTTATGCTTGTTCTTGTTCCCTGCAAACATCGCTCCACCTGTCTCTTCCTACTTTTCTTCTTTACTCTCACTGTCTTTTTGCTCTTTCACTGGCAATAACTTACTGCCTCTGTATCCATACAGACCGTAAATCATCCATCGCCACACCTCTAAGGCATACTCAGTTTTCGAAAGCGGTCAAAATACCTCAGTGCTTGAAAGTGGACAGTGTCAAAAATGAATCCCATAGTGTTCTTTTCTTGTGAGACCATGTGTGACAGTGTAATTACTTGAACCTGTGCAGCCCATATGTGTGCATGTGTGCACCAGCAGGTAAGTTAGTGTGTGGCTGTGGGGCGGATGACTCATACTGTTACCCACCTTGCTGCGCTGCTGTAGATTGAACCCGCTTCACTGCGTCAGCCGACTTTGTCTTCTATCGCGTACACAAAGGAAGCTCTGATTTGGTTTATTTATGTTACAGTGAGTAACTGTATGAGTTGAATAAATCACCAGGATGGCAGGTTATAACCCCACAGCGTAGTCTTGGCAGAATACCCATTTGATGTGCCTCAGCTCCCGTTTCGTCTTTCTGTGTCCGTCATGTTTCTCTGTTCCTGTCTGCATATCTTTCTTCTTGGTGTTCGTTTCACCTTTTCTTTATCTTTCTTCCTTTACAGTCTAAACTCATTTGTTATTCTTAATCTTCAGCCCCAGAAACCTCAAAGACTCCTGCATCACAATTAGAAGTATCTAAACTTCTCCGTCGTTCAGGATTAATGCAGTAAAATAAAGTTTGAACTCCTTTGTTGGCTGTGAATAAAAAGTTCTATAAGTGCTCATTGCCATCTGGGCATATTTGGTGGAGATACAAAGACTTCTGTCGGTGTTGTTGATGTGCCAGATTTTCTTGAACTGACACTGCGCTTTAGAGCCTGGGCGATGATATGTAATCAGCAGCCAGGAGCACAGTCAGAGATACACCTTTATACTCAATGGGTGGCAAAATAGGCATGCCTATATTTAATAGTGTGTTTGGGGCAATTGTTAAAAGCCTGTAATTTTAGTCGTGACCAATCTCGTTTCAGTGCTTCACAGCATCATTTCCCCCTTTGTATTGTTTGTTGCCTGTTGCTCCTGCTAAACATACCCAGGTTGTTGTGTATGTACGTGTGATGATGACAAATCTGCTGCCACGATAAAATTCAGTCTGTTTTTGTATGTGTGTCCAAAGATGTAAAATGAGGAGCAGTGCTGTTAAAAATATTTATTATTTGTGTACCTCAGCACTCATGCGTGTTTGTGTCTAGTGTGCGTATAAGGCTCTTTGTGTATTTGCACTCACTGTCATATTAATCTTCTAGTGAGTCTCTAAAGATTGCGTTATACAGGAAAACTATTAAAAGATGTTTTGTGTTTTCAGCTAAAAGTGAAAGAAGCAGCGTGATTACTCATGTGAGTTTTATGTTTTCTGGACTTTGACAAGCAGCTCGGGCTGTCAGGTTGTGAATGGGCTGCAGGAATTGATTGGATTTTTATGTCAAATTTACTCTTCCAGAACGCGCCTCCTTTTCTTGGCCTGGCCCCATCTTCCTGCTTATCTTCACTCACCCCCACAGATACAAATAAGCGCATGGATGAAGATCAATACCTTGCTGAATTTAAAGACCCTGCATAATGTTGTTGACCCAGCTGGCACAAGCAAGTGACCCTAATCAGTGGCCAGAGGAAGGACACAGCTAAGTGAAAACACATAGATGGCCATACAGAAGTTGCACCTATGCTTCCGTACATAAAACCATCCTCGTGCGTGTTCGTGGAACCCCACGCTAGCATTTGAGATTTGGGTTAGGGTGCAAAAACAAGGACACAGAAACACACACACACGGCTGAGCTTAAAATCCAATTTCTTATGTAAGTGTGCTCAGTGCTTGCGCACATACCTTTTTGGCAGACTGGTGGATGTAGGCAGCTGAATGTGTATCCAGCGTGAATCCGTATGGAGATAAAATAGTCGTAGTCATGATACTCTTGTACTCTGAACAAACATGTCCAGTAGCTGCGTGATGCGTAAGTATTGTTGTAAAGCTACTGTGAAGATTAGCTTTCCAAAATAATCTCTGACGTTGCCTTTTGCTGAAACATTAGTCTTAAATTTAAGTTGATCAAATAAATAAAGGTGCAGAATTAGGTCAGGTCCCTTTTATTTATACTTTACAGCATAGGTGTCAAACTTTGGCCCGCGGGCCAAATTTGGCCCGCAGCCTAATTACATTTGGCCCGCGAAGCCATACCAAATTACTATTAGAGCTGGCCTACTGGTATTATACAGCTAATATATATATTGTTTAGTATTAAGCTTTGCTTGTTCCATATTCAGTTTTTCAGCAAAACTTGTTTGAGTCCATAAGAAAAGATTCATTCTTATATCTGGAGGAAGATTTTTTTTTTCCAATAAATATTAACGTTAGCCCGCGACTTTGTTCCAGTTTTGAATTTTGGCCCACTGTGTATTTGAGTTTGACACCCCTGCTTTACAGCTTCTATGTAACTATGTTCTATCAGGAATCACTTTTCTGGTGAAATATTTAAGGTATCATTTCCTTCACTAAAATCAGTGTTCACCGTGAGAGGTCGTCATAATAGTAATCGACAGTAATAAATGAAACCCAAACCTCTTCGCCACAGGAAACTGCCCCTCTTTTGGGTTGTAAACAGGTAGCAGTAACATTGACGCTCCAGTTTAATTACTGCGAACTACTCCCCAGTGCTCCTTCTATCTCTCTAATAGCATTTCCTCTGCTTTCTGAAATAGTTTGTGGCTACCACACTAGGCCCTCCATCATTTAAACTGTCTATTTGGGGAACATTCAACCCTCCAGAACTTGAATCACTCAGCCCTGTGAAAAAAATGTTGGCATGCATTCGTCTGAGTTAGGTGCCTCTGCACTAACAAGCTCAATGGCCTTCGGTAATCCTCAGGCCTCGGTCTTTTCTCCTTTCTGAAGTGCCTTTCTCTCTCTTTTTTTATCTCCTGTCAAGGCTGACAGCTCCACTGTGCATCAGCATGTTCACCTGGGGCCGAGCCGAAGGGCAGATAGAGATAATATTGACAGAAGTCGTAGTCCGACAAAGATAAATGATGTCACTGAGAAAGAAAGGAGTGGAGAGAAAATTGGACTAGAAATGTAAGAATTGAAGAAAGAAAGTGATGGAATTTGAGCAAGAAAAGGAGGTAAAGAGGCCAAGGTGAGGTCTGGGTGCACAAAAGTAGGGCTTGAGCTAAGGCTTTATTGATTCTGTTGGCTTTGTCTGTCACCGCCCAGGGGACACACTTGGCCTATGATGTATGGCTGCTTCATTCTCTGCTGCTGCAGCAGCAAGGGACACAAGTCAGGGAGTCAGCCACTACAGGGACCTTGTTTTACGCTACTGGTACAGCAGAGCCAGGCAGCCCGCCGAGCCATGTACATCACAACTCCACTGAGAGGTGGCACGACCCAAAGAAACAAAAGAGACTTCCACCTGCTCGTTGACCTGAAGGAACATGGCTTTCAGCTAAACTTCATTAATCTCCCACTCCTGCTGTCCGGCAAAAAATACACGAACGAGTCGTCGAGAAATAAAACCCATACAGATATTTTCGTATTTCTCTCTGGTGTGAAAAAAAGAAACGTACAACTTAACCCATTTCAAGAGATGAAGTCAGAGTAAGTGCGCATACGTACACACACAGATGGCCGCACATCAAAGCATCGATAGCTGTCTCTCTCTGCGCGAAGGCAATTTGCTCTGCCCAAGATCTTGCGCACCGGTAGCATATAAATAAGCTTGGCACCATGTGGCCGGAGAGCACAGTAACAGCCCGTCAGGTTAGATGAGGACAATAAAGTTGTCTACTTGCACACCCAATGAGTGCCACATTTTGAGAAAGTAGTACACAGAGATACTGATGTTGTCACTCAGACACTCACGCAGGCAAATACTGGGGTTATTAGTATTGATTTAATGTGCTATGCTTAACTCCGCTAAGCCACAGTTTGATGAGACTTTAATTCATCAACATACTCTCTCTGTTGAAGGTGTCGGGCACCGAGCCGGGGCATTGTCTTCACAGACAAAAAGGGATTAACTAACTTCAGATAAAAGTTTGGGTCGAAAACACGCACAGATCTCCTCATCAGTATACATCTCGAGCCTTCAGAAATGTGCACACGTGAGAGGTTAACGGTAGGACAGGAACGCCTCTGGCGCTCAGCGAATCTTTCTTTGGAGCTTCCAGTTGCTATTTCACACTCATTTTACCTTTCAAACTACATTTGCACATAATCCAATTAAGTCACGGGGTTAGTAAAAGAACTGTTGCTGATGATTTAAGTTTTTGATGCATGGGCACAGACAGTTCCACGGTGCCTCTTCCCGTATGCGGTGCAGATGGATCACTGCTGAAGTCACCATCCTCCACTTGTTTTGCCCTGCAGGTGTTGTGTGCATAGTATAAATTTCACAAATAAAGCCATCCATCTCTCCCTCTGGTTAACACTTCAGACGCTAACAACAGTTAACTGCTTTGAGAAGTCTTAAGCATCCACTAATAGGGATTATATGGAGTGTAACTGGGCTATAAATTGCAGAGAGGTGCACAGTCAAATAGCGTGAACAGAATAGAAGAATACACCAAACAGTTTGCCTCTCTAAAACC